GCACTCCAGCCTGGGCGACAAAGCGAGACTCTGTTTCAAAAAAAAAAAACAAAAAAGCCTGATATCTGTGTCCGAAGGCTCTGCCTACATTAAGGATTATTTCCTACAAGACCAACACACCGCCATGACGCCATGACCAGAACAGGATACTTGTCTATATCGCTTTCCCTGGACTGGTTAGGTAACCCTTTTTCCTAATCCTTTTCTCTTGATGTTCAATGTTACTTTGTTGCAGAATGTTTAATCTACAACATTTATATATTAATTAGGTATACTATTATGTATGATTTACAATATTGACTGACTAGTGAATAAGAAGTGCTAAAAAAAAATCGCCTCCTTGAGAACTCCATGTAACTTGTGACTTCTGTAACTGAAATAACACAGTAAAAGTCTGACATTGTGAAAAGACACAAACATGTGTGTACCTGGTTATCCCTGACCTTATACCATTCACAATAGTAGATTAAGCTGTCAGGAAGTCAGAGTTGACCTTTGGAAGAGCAGTTCCAGTGGTCAAAGTAGGACGAGGAAAGGCAGTACACGTGAAAAAAAATACATATTTATATATTTGTAAATATATAATATATATAAAATATTAAAATATATATTATATATATAATATAAAAAATATATATATATATATTTTGAGACGGAGTCTTGCTCTGTCGCCCAGGCTGGAGTGCAGTGGTTCGATCTCAGCTCACTACAAGCTCAACCTCCCGGGTTCATGCCATTCTCCTGCCTCAGCCTCCCGAGTAGCTGGAACTACAGGTGCCCGCCACCATGCCCGGCTAATTTTTTGTATTTTTAGTAGGGATGGGGTTTCACCGTGTTAGTCAGGATGGTCCCGATCTCCTGATCTCATGATCTGCCCACCTCGGCCTCCCAAAGTGCTGGGATTACAGGCATGAGCCACCGCGCCCGGCCCAGGATATTCTTTAAATAAGCTTAGCATAAAGGGAAGGAGAGCAGGCAGAGGCTGAAGAAGCTGCCAGATTCCAGATCAGATTGGTACAGCTTTCCGATGGGACAGGCCTGACCATGTTTGCAGTCTGAACAGAAGCAGACACTAGGTTAAAGCTATAGCAAAGAGGTGAAAGATTACTGGAGCAAGGTCCTAGAAGAAAACTGGCAGTGGGGTGGAAGGGAGGACCAAGATCGAAGGTAGCAGACACTGAATATGTCTGTTTTTCCTCTGAGACCAGCAGAACGTAGAAAACTGTACAACTGTAATTAGAAAAAAATGAAAAACCTCATCCCAAGTTGGTTCTATTTTATCTAGAGAGTAAAAGGTAATCTGCAACAAGTGAAGGGAATGGGTGGAGATGGCCATGAGGCAAGAGAACATTTCAATTCCCTTAAATTTCTAAAACTGGGTATAGTGCTGTATTTGCAAGAATATACTTGAGACAGAAATGAATAATTATAGTTTTACTACAATGCTCCATTAAGGTAGATGCTCCACAAATATAATCACATTTACTTCTCACAAGAACCCAGTTAAGTGAGGTGTTGTTATCGTCCCTGTTTTATAGTTTGGTTAAAGATAACACTCATAGTTAAGCTTTACTACAGAACTTTTTTTTCAGCTATTATGCCATATTTGCTTCTTAAAAAAAATTAAGTTATAGAATACTATGTATGACGATATAATTTCATTAATCTTTTTTGATTCAGGCATAAACAAACAAAATTAGAAAAGCAATTCCAGGCCAGATGGAGTGGCTCATGCCTGTAATCCCAGTACTTTGGGAGGCCAAGGCAAGCGGATCACCTGAGGTCGGGAGCTTGAGACCAGCCTGACCAACATGGAGAAACCCTGTCTCTACTAAAAACACAAAATTAGCCAGATGTGGTGGCGCCTGCCTGTAGTCATAGCTACTGGGCGAGAGGCTGAGGCAGGAGAATTGCTTGAACCCAGGAGGCGGAGATTGTGGTGAACCGAGATCACATCACTACACTCCAGCCTGGGCAACAAGAGCGAAACTCCATATCAAAAAAAAAAAAAAAAAAGAAAAGAAAGAAAGAAAAAGAAAAAATGAGAAAAACAGGCAACAAGTGAAAAAAGAAATATCTTTATAGATTAAATAGAAATATATTACCACTATTGCCAGTCATTCTCTCTACAGCAGGAATCAGAAAACTATGGCCTATGGGCTAAATCCAATCTACCACCTGTTTTTGAAAACAGGATTTTACTGGAACACAGCTCTGTCCATTCATTTACTGTCTACAGCTGATTTCACACGACCATGGCAATGTTGGGTAGCTATGACGACTGTACACAAAGCCTAAAATATTTCCCATCTGCTTTCTTTAAAGAGTTTGCCAACCTCTATGTTCTTTTATAGCACTTAACTGTATCTAAAATTATTCTACTTATTTTTTATGTATTCATTTATTTATTATTATTTATTTATTTATTTTTTTGAGACCGAGTCTTGCTCTTGTCGCCCAGGCTGGAGTGCAATGGCACAATTTCGGGTCACTGCAACCTCCGCCTCCTGGGTTCAAGTGATTTTCCTGCTTCAGTCTCCCGAGTAGCTGGGATTACAGGCGCCCACCACCATGCCTGGCTAAGTTTTGTATTTTTAGTAGAGATGGGGTTTCACCATGTTAGCCAGGATGGTCTCGAACTCCTGACCTCAGGTGATCCGCCCACCTCAGCCTCCCAAAGTGCTGGGATTACAGGCGTGAGCCACTGTGCCCGGCCCATTCGTTTATTGTCTGACTCCCCTACTGGAATGCATAGTCTATGAAGAAAAAGACCTTCTTCTCTATATATTCCTAGCACCTAGAACAGTGTGTGGCACATAGAATGCACTCAGTAAAGGTATTTAATGAACAATATTTATTGCAAGAAGGAAAAGAAAAACATTTCCCATCTCCCTGCTTTCTTCTCTTAGATGCACTCCAACCATTTACCCCACCACTCCACCAAAACTGGTCTTCTCAATTAACCACTGGATTTCTCAACATGATAAATTCTCAGTTATTTCTCAGTCCTCACCTTACTCGACCCCTCAGCAGCATCGGACCCAGCTGGTCTACATCCTTCCCGGGAAACTTTCTTCACGTGGCTTTCACTCTTAGTTCTTAGCTTCCCTCCTATCGTACTGATCCATCTTTCCTTTGTCTCCTTTGCTAGTGCAATCTTATTTTCCCGGCCTCTTAATGGTTAGCCTGCTCCAAGACTCAGTCATTCAGATTCTTCTGTCAGTCCATACTCACATCCTTAGTAAGCTCATCCAGTCTCACGACTACTCTTAGGCATTTCAAACTCCTCCATAACCAAAGCCAAATCTATCTTTTCCCCCAAAACCTTCTCCTTCACAGCCTCTGCCATCCCAGTAAATAACACCATCCCTCCATTTACTGAAGCCAAAAGCTCTTGGAGTCAACCAACCCTCATTTTATAAATATATTCCAGGTCAATGACCACTTCAACTATGTCTGCTACCACCCTGATCCAAGTCACCATCATCTCTCGCCTGATAATTAATTGTCCCCTGTTCCCTTACATTCTACTCTCAACACAGCAGCCAGGGTGATCACGTTTAAAGGTAAATCAGCAAGTTCAACAGTTAGCCAGAGCGAAAGTCGCACACAATTTGGTCCCCTGAAAACTATTTGCCTCTTTGTTCCCTCCACTCCGGACACCCAGGCCTCCATGCCCATCTTAAAGCAAGTCACGCAAGCGTCCATCTCGGCCTTCATACTGGCTGAAAGGCTCTTCTGGCTGAACTGAACGAACCAGGCTTCCTGAATTAGGCATTTTCATGAAATGCTGTGTCACTTAATTCTCTACACTTTGTGAGGTAGGTATCACTTCCCCCACTTTACACATCAGGAAAGTGAGGTTTACAGGGCATCCAGCTAACAAATGATGGAGTTAGGGTTCAATCCAGATTAGTCTACACAGAACATGAGCTCTCAGTGAAGTTTCTGGAGGCTAAACAGAGGATTCAGTGATGTTCCTCTGAAGTCACAGTGATTTTAACAGCTAAAGGTGTGTGCTAACTGGTGAAGGATATGAGAAAAGGCAGTCAAAGAGATAAAACAATCACAAGAGGAGTTACCCAAGCCACAAGTGGAAAGTTTTAAGGAAAAGCGGGGAGAGGGGAAGTGTCAAGTGGAACCTAGACGCCAGAAGCCCAAGAATCAAGTGTATACCTCATAACAAACCACACTTGTGGTAGACAGGAACCCAGATCTTGATTTAGAAAGAAACAAAAAAAAGGCAGGCACAATGGCTCATGCCAGCACTTTGGGACGCCAAAGAGAAATTCGTTTGAGGCCAGGAATTCGCGACCAGCCTGGGCAACATTGCCAGACCCAAAAAATTAAAAAAAAAAAAAAATGTAGCCAGGTGTGGTGGCTCACACCTGTAGTCCCAGCTACTCAGGAGGCTGAGGTGGGCGGATTGCTAGAGCTCGGCAGATCCAGGCTGCAGTAAGCCGTGATCGCGCCTCTGCACTCCAGCCTGGGCAACAGAGCGAGACCCTGTCCGGGGAAAGAAAGAAAAAAAAACAACTATCTTCTCTTGCCAATAATGCTGCCCAGAGCTATCCTACTAGGTATTGCCACTTGCCCGCGGCAAGCGTGAAGACAGGCTGTAGGGAAGCATGTGACTAAGCAACACGGCTTCACACCTACGTTCTCCTCCGGGTCAGTGAAGCAAAGTGTGTGAGTGTGCGGGGGTGGACTGATCTTAAATTTCCCAAGGCAAAGATGTGGACCCTGATTGTGCACGTGTGACCACGGCTCTCTACCCCACAGTCTCTAGGAGACCAGGACGTGGCGGAGTCTCGGCCCTTACCCCGAATTCCTCCAACAACTTTCCGCCTATGGCCCATTCCTCTCTGCCCCACAGTCACGACAGAGAACCCCAACCCACACTACCTCCCTCTCAGACCCATCCCCCAGGCATATCCCGGGACTGGCTGCCGAGAAGCGTTACAACCAGTTAAGGCCCGGGCGTGAAAACCCCGTCTCACCACGGCTCCGGCCACGGCGTGGACCAGGCTTTCGTAGGACAGCACGGAGGCCATTGGTGCGGCTCCTCGAAGACCCAGCCACACTTTTCCCACAGATGCCGCAGCCAGTGGAGTTAGGAAAGGAGCGCCGGAGCCTGGGGCGTGAAAGTCGCAAACTCCACCCTCTCAAACCCGCCCGCCTGCCTTAGAACCACTTCCGGGTCGCGGGGTGGGAAAGAGGGCCTAAGAACCTCCCTGGGTGCTGATTGGCCCCTGTGGGCGCGGGGCGGGACAGCGAAGTGTTAGCGGGGGCCGGGCTCCAAGGCTCAGGGCGGCCTGATACCAGGTACCCGGCTCCCAGCTCCCGGGTCCCACGACGTTCTCTCGTGTTCCCGGGCCCTGACCAGTCCCTCCATCTCAGAAATCTTAATGGCCCTCTTTTACTCTGGTGACAAAGATGGAGAAACTCAAGGAGACTCCAGTCTCCCTGTTTCTCTGCGCCTGAGCTCTTTTCTATTCTGAGTCACATTTTGGCCAAGAGGAAAACAGCTTAATTGTGGACTTGGAAACTTCTCCCTCCCGAAAAACCCTTGAGTGTGGTAGGAAGGGATATTGAGCTCAGGAGACCAAGATACCAGACGCGAGTGGGAGCCTCCCCCTAGTTGGCAACTATGGAAGTCATTTAACCTCTTGGGTTTCCAACTTTGTGAAATGACAATGTACTAGTCCCAACAATCCCCGTTTGCTGTGAGGATTATGAAAGCCAGTTTATGTAGCAGTACTTCATAAAATACTGAAGGAAAAAAATTTTTTTCCATGTTGCAAAGTGAGTAACAAAATTACATAGCACTAAAGAAGCCACATTCAGCTTTAACCTGTCATACTGTGAGATTCTGCTTCAGGATGCTCCTCAGGGACTCTTTCATGAGACACCATCACCACTTGTCTGTACCATGTTTCCTTTTAGAATACCCTCGTGATAACTCCTGAGTGCTGACTACATGCCAGGGTTAGTGTTTTATGCCCATCGTCACACTTAATCCCTAGGAGAGGGTCCTAACAAAGTTTAACTTGGCCGTTTTCACAAAATTTGCAGAAGATACTGCTTCCAGGAAAATTCCCATCACGCCATAGAATCATGACATGAACGTGCAGGAGCAAAAGTGAAGCGAAGATGATTTTGGGCTGGGCGCAGCGGCTCAGGCCTGTAATCCTAGCACTTTGGGAGGCTGTGGCGGGCAGATCACTTGAGGTCAGAAGTTTGAGACCAGCCTGGACCATATGGCAAAACCTTGTCTCTATTAAATATAGAAAAAATTAGCCGGACATGGTGGCACGTGCCTTGTAGAAATTACAAAGTAGAAACTGCAGCTACTAGGGACGCTGAGGCAGGAGAATCGCTTGAACCCAGGAGGCAAAGGTTGCAGTAAGCCAAGACTGCGCCACTGCACTCCAGCCTGGGGCAGAGCAAGACTCCTTTAAAAAAAAAAAAAAAAAAAAAAAAGAGGGATTTTGGCACGGGAACGTAGACAGAAACTAGTTGGTTGTAAAACTTGAAAACTCAGTTCTCACTGACTCCTGATCAAATTGGGAGCTTGCTGTCAAGAATATACTAGATTATGCATCATAGTTATCAAAACATTAATACTTCGTTTTGACGTTTTTATATCTTATCTACCACACACATTTTGATCATTTTTTTTTTTTTTAAACCTGAGACAGGGTTTCTCTACGTTGTTCAGGCTGGTCTCGAACTCCTGGGCTCAAGTGATCCACCTGCCTCAGCCACCCAAAGTGCTGGTATTACAGGCATGAGCCACTGTACTGGGCCTTGCAACTTTTTTATTTTTGAGATGGAGTTTCACTCTTGTGGCCCAGGCAGGAGTGCAATGGCGCAATCTTGGCTCACTGCAACCTCCACCTCCGGGGTTCAAGTGATTCCTACCTCAGCCTCCCGAGTAGCCGGGATTATAGGCACGCGCTACCACGCCCAGCTAATTTTTGTATTTTTAGTAGAGACAGGGTTTCATCATGTTGGTCAGGATGGTCTCAATTTCTTGACCTCGTGATCCACCCGCCTCGGCCTCCCAAAGTGCTGGGATTACAGGTATGAGCCACCACCACCGGCCTGATCAACTAAAGACTGACATACTGAGAACAGTACACTTTTTTTTTTTTTTTTTTTTTTTTGAGACAGAGTATCGCTCTGTCGCCCACGCTGGAGTGCAGTGACGCGACCTCGACTCACCTTAGCCTCCATGTCCTGGGTTCATGTGATTCTCCTGCCTCAGCCTCCCAAGTAGCTGGGACTACAGGTGCACGCCCCCATACCTGGCTCATTTTTCTATTTTTAGTAGAGAAAGGGTTTCACCATGTTGGCCACGCTGGTCTCGAACTCCTGACCTCAGGTGATCCACGCATCTCAGCCTCCCATAGTGCTGGAATTACAGGTATGAGCCACTGCACCCAGCCAGTGTCATTTTCACATAATCAGAGTATGCACTGAAAAATGTAGACATTGCATAGCTACATCAGTTATTAAATGGAACTACGAAGTTGTGACGTTTGAGGCATAAGTTTATTCATATATATATATGTGTGTGTGTATATATATATATGTATTTTTTTTTTTTGGAGACAGTTTTGCTCTTGTCGCTCAGGCTGGAGTGCAGTGGTGCAACTTCAGCTCACTGCAACCTCTGCCTCCCAAGTAGCCGGGACTATAGGCATGCACCCCCACCCCCAGCTAATTTTTGTATTTTTTTGTAGAGACGGGGTTTCACCATGTTGGCCAGGCTGGTCTCGAACTCCTGACCTCAAGTGATCCGCCCTGCCTTGGCCTCCCAAAGTGTTGGGATTACAGGCATGAGCCACTGTGCCCAGTTGAGACATAATTCTAAAAAATTATAACTTAGTTGAGCACAGTGGCTCACGTCTGTAATCCCAGTACTTTGGGAGGCCAAGGCAGGAGGATTATTTGAAACCAGGAGTTCCAGACCAGCCTGGACAACAAAGTTAAGACCTCATTGCTGTTAAAAACAAAAACAGATGGTCATGGTGGTGCATGCCTGCAGTCACATTTACTTGGGAGGCTGAGGTAGGAGGATTGCTTGAGCCCAGGTCAGGGCTGCAGTGAGCTGTGATCGCATCACAGCACTCCGGTGTGGGCAACAGAGAAAGATTCTGTTTCAAAAAACCTAAGGACTGTAATTTTTAGCTGCTTTTTTCATTCTAAACAAATATCCACTTGTGTGTCCAATTTGTTGTTCATAATTACATTCTTTTCCTTAAAGAGGGTCCTTTGAATTATATAAGCATCATATCCCTTGACACTACATAAAGTATATAAAAAATTTAGGGCCATTCTGTATACACCCATGCTATAAGAATTAAAGGAACCTAGCTAGTACTTGCCATTTCATGTATGTTGCTTTTACACTGGCTTAAGTATGGTCAGGTTACTTACCCTGCAATCTAAAAATGTCCCAGTGATGTGTGTGAGTGAACTACTTAATTATGTATGAGAGTCCTAGATTTTCAAAGCACCATAGACATTTCTATTAGTTCTACTTACCTCCTGGCTTCTTAAAGCCGTAATTTTAAAATCAGGATTTCACCAACCATCATAATTTTTAGTTTACTGCTAAACAACTTTATAGAAAACCATAAACTTCCACTTCCACCAGCACTATACAAAAGGTCTCACGGAAAAACTGCCAACTTGACAGGCATACTATTTACATTTGCTTTTTAAAGCTCAACACAGTTATTCACTGTTGTTGCCTATTAACCTTAGGGTATTTTCCTCCCCAAACTGCATGAGCTCTATTAAGTACATTATATACTGGTTGTAAATACTGGCACATAATGACCTTTTTAGAATTACTGTGCTATAATTCTTTTACTTATTCTTGCCCTTATTTGGGGGCTTGTCATGTACTTCAATTACACTGTTTCCCTTACTATTAGGAAGAAACTCCCTGGATGTACACATCAGCACATCAAGTGTGTGACATTCCTTATTTAACCAACCTTATTCAAATGTACATTTTAGTTGTTTTCAGTTCTTTAAACAATTCTGCAAGAATCAACCTTGTACACAGGCAGCACAGTAGAGAGTTTGGGAGGAAGCCCTTTGAAGCCACAAACCTCTGTATTCAAGAATTTCAGCTTTCCAAATAATCAGCTGTGTTATCCTGGGCAATTTACTTATTAAGTGCTTCAGTTTCCTTATCTATAAAATTGTACAGTGGTGCTAACAGTATCTACCCTTATGGTCATTATCAGAATTGATACAATACTTGCAAACGGGTAACAGGGTTTGGCACAAACACTACTTACCTGTGCCTACTCAAGTGCATTCATTTTAGTCATTAGCAAATCTCTGAAATTGTTTCTCCTTTATCTTATCATACTAGTATTTCCTAGTATGGCAGACTGCTAGGTGTCACCCCAAGTCTTTCCTGTTTCTACTGTAAGTTTTTTCTTGAGCACGTGACCACACAGTTATGGATGACAAACTGGCTTTCGCTGCAGCTAAACATAGCCTCAACACACAAACTGACCAATGGGATATTAGAAGTAATAAAATGTTAACTTCACATATTAGCTTCAGTATCTCAACATGTTTTCCAGACCCCCTTTCTCCTATTTCCTCAATTGGAGGATGAGCACCAGAGCAAGCAACTTTGGACCTAGAAATGGAAGCTACCTTCTATGTATGGCAGAATGCCTGCCTCTGAACAGCTACCCAAAATAAAGTACCTGTTTTTTAGGGGTTCTTGTTTGCAGCACTTAATAGTCTTCAGCCTAATATACCTAGTAAATTAACTTGAGTATCAGAGACATAAATAGAACATATGCTACAAAAAGGCAGGGGCAGGGGGGTGGGGGAATCAATATCTAGTTTTTGTTTTTTGAGGCAGTGTTTTACAATCTCAGCTCACTGCAACCTCCGCCTCCCAGGTTCAAGTGATTCTCCTGCCTCAGACTCCCGAGTAGCTGGGATTACAGGTGCCCAACACCATGCCTGGCTAAATTTTTTTTTTTTTTTTTTTTTGAGACAGAGTCTTGCTATGTCACCCAGGCTGGAGTGCAGTGGCACGATCTCGGCTCACTGCAAGCTCTTCTTCCTGGGTTCACACCCTTCTCCTGCCTCAGCCTCCCAAGTAGCTGGGACTACAGGCACCCACCACCACGCCTGGCTAGTTTTTTTTTTTGTATTTT